AGCTCCAACTCTCCCAATTGTTGGTGCTCCGTATTCGAAAAACGTACCAATGGTGCAAATAATACTGGTCCGTCGGTGGTTCTTTTTGGGCCGGTAGTCGATGTTGAGGTTGCACTGCCATTCCAGCTTAGTGCGATTGGCGAGATGGTCCAAAGCGTCACCCATGTTGTCCGATGGATTTGAATATACACTTCAAGCGGTGAGGGTTGGGCAAAGAACGCAGGACTGCGGTTGACGGTGTCTCAAATAGCGGTAGTCGGCCGCCGAAGGGCTGAAAGTCAGGGAGACGAGCTCCGTCAGTCACAAACGTTGCAAACGCAGGACACAGTCACAGAGGCTGTCACAAGAGAGAAGTCACTTACTCTTAACTCGAGGAGAGATATGGCAGGAAGAAGCGGATTCAGTAACGAATGAATAGCGGTTGAAGGTATCACCGCTCAGCAAAATAAAAAAATACGGCTGGCGCTCGCGACGGGCAATGGTTGAGCTCAACCCAGCTTAGTTACAGTAGCAGCTGGGTCGCTGAGTCGCAGGTTGAATAAGGATGGAGCTCTCACGTCACCGCTTATCAGGGGTTGAGAATGGGGGTGACAGCATTCACACGCAGTAAAAATCAGGCGAGCGATAGGCTAGTGAAACTCAGCAACTGCGATGGGGGAGTCTGTCGGGCTTGGTTGGCGCCGGAAATGAATAATATTAGATGGGCTCGATGGGCGGCAAGTGCAGATGGGGGAGGTCAAGAGAGGTCCGTCGGCCCCATTGAAACCTTGCGGGAGCTGAAGAGAGGGGCCGCAAGGGCCGCCATCTTCAAAGTTGCAGCAAGTGAGGGGCAGGAGTCGCCCAAGAGTCGCTGCCAAGAGCTGATAAGATACGCGACTCCCGGGGTCGTAACAACATTAATCCGGCGCTGCCACTTACTAACTCCTCGGGTAGACGGCCTCCATCTGCCTCTACACATCACATGTGAACAATAGGCAGACTGCATCCCGTCTTCTTCCATTCTCGCAGCTCATCCTCTTTCCCAATATCACAGCAAGCCCTTCCCAATCCCCTTCGCCATGGTGGTAAGTTTCCATCAATCGCATCCAATCTCAGAACATGTGGACCAACAACATGTATAGCTCGGACGCCTGACTCACTACGCCTTTGACGCCGTCCTCATATCTGCATTTCTCGCCGGTATCAAGAGAAGCACTGGTCTCACGTACGTACACCAGCACCGTTGGGCGTTTTCTCCCTCTCCCTCTTTTCTTCTCCGGACAGAGTGGTCCATTGAGGAGAGTTGAGCTGGAGGGCGACATGCAAACACGAAGGTTGCAAAGTGGTCCCACGAACTGTCTCTTTGTTCAATGTCTTTTCGCATTCTCGCTTGGATACCTCAAACTCACTGATTCTGATATCTGACACAACAGACCAACCAGTGTCAAAGCCTCGTCGCTCGGCGAAAGCAAAGAACTGCAAACATGGGTGGACCGTTACCTCGGAGTGGGCGAATGGGTGATGGACCAGAGTGTTGCCTTTATGGGCAGCAGTAGTTGGTTTGAACGAAGGAGATGAAAACAACACACATTTCAAAACACATCTCCCGAGCGATAAATTACACAGAAGTGGTGTACAGGGAGAAACTTTCCCTGTGCAGGTGAACGCAGGGGCTGGAACAGCTTTCAGGAATATACAGAGGAGGTTCTGAGAATCGGCAAGTAGCATGATTATCGGGCGTCAAGGACAAGAGGGTGTTATCCTTCCGGGCCTGGGAAGAGAATGGGATGCGCGGTGAGGGAGTGCATATCTGTCTGGTTGGGTGGGTTCCGCGTTGGAATATCGTTCTGCGATACACTCAACTCCTCGGGTCATGGAATTGTTTCCATTTGGCCGAATGCGCAAGAGAACGTGCTTTGTCTCTGTGCTCGTGGGCCAGATCTTCTCAGCGTACACTTCGCACCTCATAACAAAGCCAGAACACTATTGCATCAGAAAAATTAACGCCGAATCTAAATGCCCATAGTGAACTTCTTGCACATCCTGTAAAATGGGACGGACATGTTTAGGCTCTCTTGCGCTCAAGACGACTGCGAATAACCCGACTTCGATCACCAGTTGCGACATCAGCCATCAACGCCGTCCGTATTATGAAACAACATACCATTATCCATGGTCATATTAACAGTAGCTGTTCCACAGGAGCACATCCCGTGTTTACGTACGCCCATCTTTCCCGAAATCTATTGCGATGTCCTCCTTCTCTGTCTCTTACCACTATCCATGCCCTCCCCGGAAAGTATCATCGATCAGCTGGTCGAGATCGATCCTCTCGTAGAAGGAGATATGACCGTATGGCACCCAATACTGGGCCAATTTATTAGGCGAAATCATGATAAGCTGGGAGGGAATGAATTCGTCTGTACCAAATCAACAAGCATCAGCGCTGGGCTGTCTGACCAGGGATAAACAGGGCTACAAAAGGGCCGACGAAGAGGCACGGACTTGGCCATGGATAGGAAACCCAGATGAGATTTATGGTCCATGAAGAAAGGAGGAGGAAAGCAGACATCGTTGGACTCACCATTCTGAAATCCCCTTGCAGCGACGTGGCCCCTACTTCTCACCACCCTCGCCCCCCGAAACGGATGTTCCTCTGCAATTCTAATCAATCCACCAGGTCCAATGTCGTCCGCCACGAAAGTGTACTCTCCTCGCGGAACGTGGGGATCGCCCGTTAATTTGACAGCCTCGATGGAGCCTTTGTATATGCCCTCGTCTTCATACATTGCCAGCATGTCGCGTTGATATTGCGACTGGGACTGAGCAAGTTGTTCGGCTGTCTGCTGGGAGAGCACCGGTTCTTCCAATTCATCTTCCTCACTCTCGGGAGGCAAGTCAATTAGCCCTCTCAAATATGCGTCCGTGGGTCGACGTTCAGGGATCTCAGGGCCTTTTTCCGACTGCATGACCAACAGAAACTCGCATCCGTGGCCGGCGTAATCGCCCACAAAGATGCCTTGGTAAGGCTTTTCCTTTGTCGGGGTGTACAATACCGGGTCAATGGTACTCCACGTCGAGACTTCTTCACCTATCCTAATCCCGAAGTGCGCCATGCCTGATGAAAACTGGCTCCAATGCCTCAGGCGAAAGGTGGTTTGCGAGATCTGATCGTATTTTTGCGGTTTGTGTCCTGACCCGCGGAACTTATCCACGCTGGCGGCGCGCACGCGAGGCATATTGGGGATTGTTCTGGGTGGCCAGAGAGCCATGGATTTGTTCTGCAAATGCGGAGGAATGTCTCTGCTCAAGAAGAAAGAGGCAGACGTATTGTGTCCAGGCCGTCCCACAGTCATTTTAATCTCGGCTTCCCACCAACCCTGACGGGTATTGAAAGGGACGATGTCATGCGGCAGTTTGAGGATCGGGTCATCCAACCAGAGGTGCACGCGTGGATGGAAGTTGTGGATGACCACACTGGGTTCGTAGGGCCAGAGAAGACCCATTGATGGAGTCCTCTCAGCCAGAAGGCGGTATCCCTCAATACAGCCTCGCCGCGGGTCGAAACGGCAGATCATCACGCGGCCGATGTGCGGTTCATCGGAAATCCAGATCTTGTTCCGGGGCACGAACCAGTACGGATGATGCGTGATGTACAAATCACGATACGAGGATGAAGGATACGGATCAGACGGAAAGTCTTCTGGAGGAATATTTGGGCGAAGTAAGTTGGCCCAGAGAAGGTCATTGTAGGCCAGTCCTCGTAGCCGACGACAACACCGAGAGAGCGAGACGAGCGACTGACATGGCAGATAACATAGTATTTGACAGATGATCTCGGAAGGGAGTCGGACCAGCGCTGCTTTCTGGTGGTCTACCGAGTTGGGGGTTGTCATCGAGGTGGCGTCGTCAGGTGGTAGAGGAGCCATTTCCTCGATATCGTCGGCGGTATGTCGGCGGAAGAGGCCCATGGCCTAGAGCCCAAGGACCTAGGGCGAAGGTTAATGATATTGCCAGCGTGGAAACGAAAGGGAGCGGGAAGAACTTGAAAGATAGAGATTTTGGGGGGAATTGGGAATTGGCCATGTGGTCATAACATTTGAACACTAGGATTCTCGGAGAAGCAATCAAAGGGAAAAGGCTGAGAAAGGATCCTCCATCTGCCTCCGTCCACCCCGCCTTTCGCCTTTTTGTACGTACTGCCAATTCCCGGCTTCCTTCTGCAGCCATGGGCGCTTTCGCCCACGAGCTGACAAGCACGCGATCGTATTAGTAGAGATGCGGAATCGAATCTGTATTGGAAGAGGCAGCCGATGAACTCGAGGCCTTGACTGATCAGGAAGGTGAGAAAAAGTGAGAATCAAGCGGGCCACTTGTCGATGTCTCTTGTACGGCAGGCCCCGCATGAAAATACTATCGAGGCTACTTAGGGAAGGGGAAGAGGAGTCATGCCGGAGGACCGTATTCGAGCTATACGACAAAGGATCCCAGCCCGCCTTCTCAATGAGGTTGCTATATTGCCCAAGTACAAGTCTCGTATCTAGTACACGAAATATTCCTCACAATGCTGATGGCTCGATATTTCCTCCCTTGGTCATCGAGGTTGACAAACGTATGTGGCGTTCTCTTCTATTCCACCCTAGGTCCACACCCCGACAGAGCCCATGCTGCCATGCCGCCATGCCGTTGAGCACCAGCCCACATGATCAGGACGCGTTGCTTGTATTAGGGAGGTATCTTGGAATGGATGCTGTCTGATCCATCATGGTGACCTGCCCGTCGTGATTCCGAGATCCGCAAAGCCGCAAAGTCTGGAAGCGGACAACGAGGAGGCAGCGTCAGCCACTCGAGCCGTGACTCGCCCACCTGCGCTTGGCCACAGAATTTTGCTTGACGACACCAAGCGACTGAGCACTATGTGTCCCGGCCTAGCTCCAGTGCGGCCTCCTCCTGAGCCTAGAGTTCACATTCTTTTTTGGTTGAAGGCCGCTAAACCACTTCTGCTCTCGAACCGATCGCCTTCAGCCCCGTTTTCTCATGTCGATAGATTCCTGCTTCTGCGCTTGCGGTGATGTCGACGACGCGTTTTCTTCCTGCCAGATATCCCGCTCCAGTTGTTGGAGACTATAAGGCTTAATATTTGGATCTTTGGGAGGATCAGGGATCAGAAATTTCCCAATGACTTCACCGAACACTCTCGTAAGAAACGCCTGTCGATTTTTCCGGTCCTCGTTCATCGTGACGCTATACTTAAAGAGATCTTCGGCGTACAAGTCTGTCAACTTGGCTTCTTGCAGGGCAGCTCTTGCAGCTAGCTCTCGCTCATGAGGTGGATATTCGTGTAGGGGCTTCTTCATCTTGTCCTCCATGGCTTTCGGTAGCGCCATTTGCTCCAGTGTTGGGGCGGGTCGATTGGGGTTGAACAGCGATGATAGCGGTGGAATGGGCTGGTTGTTTCGTTTTGCCTCGTCTACCTCAGCCTCATAGTCCATCATTCTGTGATACAACTTATCGGCGTGCATTTGAATTTTTTCCTCGTCCTCAGCCGAACTGGTTGCGCTCGTCATATATCCCAAAGCCTGCAGAAATTTGGCTTGCAGGGTATAACAGCGATTGAATGCCTTTGTCTCTTCATGACACATGGTCATTCTCCCGCGCAATCTGTCGGTCAAATTGCCGCCTTTGAAGCAGATTTGTTGCATTTCCTCCTCGAATGCGCAGTTCTCCAGTGCGGCTTTGTGTATGGACTGGTTTCTGTCTTTTCTTGCTGAAAGCACTCTTTCCACAGGCGTAGATGTAGCTGCAGTGATCTCATCTTGGGGAATATAGGTCTTCCAGATGTGTTTGTATCGGCCATCTTGAAACAGCGATTCTTTTGGCAATGGTCTCTCTTCTGCAGTTGGTATCGTATCCGGGATAATCTGTTCGGACGGCTTCACAGTAGGGCTGAGCTTCTCTGAAGGCTGCAGCGGTTCTATAGGAGCTTCGGCTGGGACATAGGGCCGGGGTTGTTGCTCCTTCAAGAATTGCTTCAAGTCGTCGTCGAGGTCTTTTGCAGGATCATTTTGGTTGCTTTTCCCTCCCCAAAACCAGCCCATCTCTCTCGAGGATTGCCCAGACTCTTTCAAAACAGCCGGAATAGACGAGAGCCCATAATTTACCTGCGGCCCGGTCGCAGCGAGACTGTTCACCTTCAGAAATCATTTCTCCGCAGCTCAGCGCCAAGGCAGACCCCTGTCGCCTTTGAATGCTGTCGCGTTCTCCCCTCATTCGACGCGTCGGCTTTTGACCTCATCCAGTCACGACTATTCATGTACTGTCTTCGTGAATAGTCAAAGAACACGGATTTCGCTTCGCGCATACATTATTGCCACAAGCTCTCGAGGTTTCAAATGGTCTCCACAACCCGTCATGGCTTCTAACACTCGACAAGATCGGGCGCTGATGCGCCAACGTGGTGCAGGGTTTGTTTACTTTGCTGAAAGAGCGTGAAACGAACCCAATGCTGACAATAGTAGATCGCGCACAGTCGCAATTGCTGATTTTGGTATCAATTTTGGGTTGGGGGACAGTCGACAGGAGCGTCACCAGATGCGACAGAGGGGTGCCGGGTATGCTACACCTCTATCTGACTCGAACCTCGCTCATATCTCTTGTCCAGGTCCCGGAAGATTTACAATGTCGACTTTGGAATATCTTTTCCGACCCCGTCACAGCGTTCAAGCACAAAGACACCGCAGTCACGAAGGTCTACTTCTCGCCAGCCATCAAATACACCATCCAGACGAGGCCGAGAGTCGACGTCAGCAAGGTCGACCAGACAAATATCGAGCAAGCGGAACTCGACTCAACTTATAATGCCTCCGCCTGAGCCGGAACCCAAGTCAGATGTTGCGCATACAAGAACAAGAACTCGCTCTACCAAAAGAAGGAAAACATCTCCGGCTATTGATACGCCAACCCCTCAACTTTTCATGGAAATTCCTCGGTCAAGGCCCACAAGCCTGGCTTCGCTGAGAAATTCTAGTCGGACATTTACAATCGCTGAAGACGACGATGCCGGGGTTTCTCATGCCATTATTCAGGCAGGAGAACAACATCAGACATCTCCCTTATTCGTCCCACAGGAGGCGCGCGAAAAGGAAAATGCGACGCCGGATGATGGAGGATCGAAGGGCACCGTGGGTTCCGATTTACAGACCACAAAGAGCGGGCGAATTCTGTTTGCACCTTTCTTTGATGAAATTATCACCGAATCCGCTTCGGAAGCCCCCGGACTAGATGACGAAGGGACGGATCAGGCGCTGAGGAAAGACGACACGTTACAAGATTCAGTTCGGCCTGGTTCTTCGAAACAGCAAAAGCGGAGGAGACGAAGGCCCCTCACCCTTGAGCGCAGAAGACGCCGTTCGTCTACTCCGAGTCAGCCTGTCAACCCGTCAAAAGAGGATTCGCCGCCAGGTGTTTCTTCTCAAACCACGTCTGAGCATATGCCATCAGCTGCAATCATGTCTTTGGCAGACCGAATCGCGAAGTATAGCAAACTTACGAGACCAAGGAAGCGAGCAGAGACTCCTCCCTCCGATCCAGAACAAGCTCCTGACCAAGAAGGAGAGGAGGAAGATGACTCCTACGTGGAACAGAGCTCCCCGGAAGTAGAGACGCCTGCTGCAGGTATGAAGGACAAGAGAAAGACTCGCCGACGGATCTCTCGAGATGGACCAGCCGAAGTTTCCGAGGGCAAAAGAGGCAGATCTACCTTCCCCATCCTCACACACCGACTGACCAGTGTCCCGACATTACCAACAATCCACGAAGATGGCGAAGCCCCATTTGGGGATGCACTTGCTGATGTTACGAATGATCGTGCTCCGCCCAACGTCGTGGACGTGCTAGCCCAGATCTGTCGCGAAACAATTTCGAACACGATTGACCGTATAGCTGAAACTACACAGCCCGGCAAACGAACCGCATTGAACAACAAACGGGGGGCTCTCGAAGCATTCGGAAAAGATCTCGATGACGAACTATTCGCCATGTCCGAAGCTGTGGAGAACCGCATCAACCTGGAAGCCCGAGTTCGGAAGACTAAACGGGAGAAAGCAGCTCTACAAGCTGAATATATTGAGTTAAGGACGGAGCGGGAGCAAGTTGCGTTGAAATGTGACGCACTTAGACGACGGCACTGGGACTGTGAAGAGGCGACGAGACAGAAATGGACGCTCAGCGAGGCGGCTCGACGCGTCGAGCAGGAGTTGGACAGAAATATGGAAACAGGGTGTGATCGCTTTGAGTTCCTGATACGAAGTGTAACGACGGCGATTAGCAGTGCATCCGGACATGGTGGAATTTTGGATAGAGTCAAGTCGTTCAATGCCCAGTTGGAAAACATGGCTTCGGCCCTTGAGGAGAGCAATGTCTGATGTTGTTGATTGTTGGTATCTTATGAGGTAAACAATCTGAGACGACTGATGATGATGGACGGCAATTTTGTATTGGTACCTTGCCAGGAACTGGAGGTCATGCTCGCCAGGATGGCAGGTAGGACATACGGAGTTCTGATCATAATATATTGAAATCGACGGCAAAAGCGACAACAACCGAGTCCCTCGCAGAATCTTTTCGCGACATAGTGAGGCGATACGGTACGCGTCTTGTAAATTCTACAGCTGATTCTTGGTTTCATTTCGCCCAGTCGCAAAAGCTCGTGGAGAGAATGTTGGACTCCATACTTGACGAGGCTGAGATGGCTCCGATAGCGGAGACGGTTCAGCCTTGCGCCGGATCTTCTCCAACTGGCATTATTTTCTTCTCCGCTTCACACAGCAAAGGAGCGCTGGTTTCTCAAAGAGGTCTCATTGTAGACATGGCAAGCCGAACGTTGCGGATAGGTATGATCTCTCACAATTGTCTTCAGGGCTTCATGCTGATATGTATCCCCCAAAACAGCCCTCATTCCCGGCGACGGTATCGGTCGTGAAGTAATTCCGGTACGAGTTACAGCAGTCCCGATCTTGTCCCTTGCCCACTCGATTCCAGCTCTGTACGTTCCTAATATTCAAGCTACAGGCGGGTAGACGCATTCTAGAGTCGCTTCCCTCGTCGTTGGGCTTAAACTTCTCCTTTGTCGACCTCGACGCCGGGTTCGATTGCTTTAAGCGCACGGGAACGGCGCTGCCAGACAAAACGGTCGAGACGCTGCAAAAAGAATGTGACGGCGCCTTATTTGGGGCTGTGAGGTGAGCCCATATACCGGAATTGCGAGATCCCTATGATACATATACATTGTTGAGAGACAAAAATCGCACACTCTCCGCGCACCCAAGTCTCACTTCGAAGCCACCCGACTAATTCTTGTCCCTCCTCTCTGCCAACAGCTCCCCAACAACCAAAGTCCAAGGCTACACCTCCCCAATCGTGGCCCTCCGCAAGAAACTCTCCCTCTACGCCAATGTCCGTCCCTGTAAAACTACTCTTTCCTCGGCATTTCAATCGCCCGTTCCGCATCCGATCGACATGGTCATCGTGCGCGAAAACACTGAAGACCTCTACGTAAAGGAGGAGAGGACATACAGCGATAGCGAAGGAGGGGAGATTGCCGAGGCGATCAAGAGGATATCGAGCAAAGCGAGCTGGCGGATCGCGAACATCGCGGGCGAGATCGCGTTGCGACGACAGCGGATGAGGGATCAGCAGGGTTCACCAAAGAGAAAGCAAGGCATGGTCACAATCACCCACAAGTCGAACGTCCTCTCCCAAACGGACGGTCTCTTCCGCTCCACCGCCCGAGAATGTCTTTCTCAGCCACAATTCTCGTCCCTGAAAATCGAGGAGCAGATCGTTGACAGCATGGTGTATAAGCTGTTCCTGCAACCGCAGTACTACGATGTGATCGTCGCGCCCAATCTGTATGGGGATCTACTCAGCGATGGGGCCGCCGCGCTGGTCGGCTCACTTGGTCTGGTGCCCAGCGCCAATGTCGGTGAGGGCATCATCATAGGCGAACCGTGTCACGGATCCGCGCCGGATATAGAGGGCAAGGGCATCGCCAACCCGATAGCGACCATAAGAAGCGTGGGTGTCATGCTGGAGTTCTTAGACTTGCCCGAGGCTGCGCAGGTCGTGTACAATGCCGTGGATGCGTCTTTGCAAGAGGGTAAGTTTGTGTCTCCGGATTTGGGCGGGCAGGCGACGACGAAGGAGGTGGTGGATGACGTCGTTAAGAGGCTCTAGCTTGGTGAATATTGAGGCGCCGTTGAAGCGACCAACTGAAAGAGATGGGTCGAAACCGAGCACCGTGAGACGCCCGCTCTGGTTGGACTTGCATGTTTTCCTGCTTCCCGTAGGTTCGGGCGGATTCGCGCCGCATTTTGGATATGACAGGAAGAAGAAAGGGTTCAGCAAAAAGCAGAGAAACATCAGTTTGTAGGGGATTCTGTTACGTTGGTCTGCAGGATAGCCAATCCAACGAAAACTGTGGTGGGCAAAAGAAGTTTGTACGTAGCAAGAGGCTGTGCTCTAAATCTCTGCTGCTAGACTTGCTTTCCGTTCGAATTGATAGCGACTACGCCACAAGCCTTCTTTAGTTGTCTCCTGTTGACGTCCACCTCCTAGACCTGCTGATTTCAAGACAGCAAGGCTCACACTCGAACCAGGAAGAGAATGTTCCCGCTTCGCCGTAGATCATTCTGTGGTCGTCTTGTCTGAACATGTATGACATTAACAGCTATACATTCCGCTGGGTCATGGTCCCCCATCAACCTGTACTGAGGCCTCAGAAATTGAATTGCATGTGGTAAGAATCGTCGGTTGGACCTCATTTGTGGTGTCTTCTCGGTGACCGGCGCAAAGATGCCTCACAAGAACGAATAAATCCGAGATGAGAGCTCTATTCATATGCGTCAACGTACAAGAAAGACAACTCGGTCCCTCATTGCTGCTTCTTCGTCGCCAGCTGTCCTTGCTCCTTGTCGAATGCCGCATACGTGACTTCCAAACTGGCCACACCGGAAATGGCGACGTACAAGATCAGAAGGAGAAGAAAGCCGACAAGGTAGCCCATGAATATCCCTATGAAGTATGTCAGTACATCGCAGCGCCGAATCTGGACGGTGGAGAAAGATGAAGAGAAAAGCCTGAAGAAAGAACGCACCGGGGGTGAAAAATTGATACTTATCGAACAACGGCCCGTCGATCATGGTCTGGTTACTCGCAGTCTTGTTGGCCGCCGTATGGACACCGAGATCTCTCTTCAGATCGAGATGCATGCTCTCTTGTATTTGGGAATCCATGTCATACTCGACGGCTTCCTTTTCACCTGCGCCTTGAGTAACCAACATCCCGTCTTGTGACCGGCTTGTCATGAACAAAACAGTATAGTTGTGCGTTGGCAGCAGATCTATCACAGAGGCTAGAAATGCGTCGTTTGAAGAGAGATCATTGGCTCTATTTGACCCAGCACATGGCGCAGGAAGAACAAGTTCGAGCAGACGGGGTGAAGAGGTTAAATCCTTCGTCGGAATACCTCCTCCTTCTTCCGAGGCGTCGACAGAAGTAACCAAGACGCCGCATTTCGTTGTCAAGGCATCAATCCATGCAGAGCTGTCAAGGCGACCAAAAACATCTGGAACAGTCAAGCTACTCCGAACAGGCGATCCTTTGGATTGGAAAGGGGATAATGATTTTGCGAGAAAGGGCGTGGATCTCTTAGAATTGGAGTAGTCTGTGGCGGACACTCCCGGTTGCGAGACAAGAATGTAGTAGTCTGAAGGGCATGAGGAGAGAGTCAATGCGACGTCGGAGGTCAAAAGAGGCGCCGATTGAACTTGGGAGGTCGTTGCTAGAAGTCTACATGCAAGGCAGACACTGGTCAGTTGAGAAGTGCCTGAAGTTGAGCGTGGATATAAACATACTCGGAGGTTGAGAACATGAAAAACGGCATGGTATCGAGATAGCCATGGGCGCATTCAGCGGCCAGCGCCAAAGCGCACAGCCGAAAGAGACGCATAGCGCAGGGGGTGACCGAGGAGAGTGTTTGTTCAACAGTTAACGGTGCAGTTCTTGAAGCTTTGACGTGATGCATGGGATGCGAACCTGCGCGCTGCATCTGGCGTTCTCCCGCTTCATCGTATACCCAGCAAGGCCAGCTAGGCAGCCAATAGGAGAACCATGCATCTTGGCTGTTTTGGAATGTTTGCCTAGCGGGACAGAACGGGACAAGGCTGACATTGAGAATTTGAGAAGATAAAATTTCCCCTCGAGCTCGACCTTCCGCTTTCATCTTGAAATTCATCCCTGATGTGAACCGCAACCCCTGATCACCAGTATAATAACAATAGGGTGATTTTCTTACACTCAACATTGACGTAACAACAGCAGTGAATCTTGACTGGATTGTGCCGCCTGCAAAGAGATTTATCATCTTCCGCTATGGGATTTCATATGTGTCAATCCCGATCAAGGTACGGGTAGAGCTCTATCAACTGTCACACTCCAATGTCTCTTCTCTGCACAAAATACTTTCAAAAGAAGTAATCATATGATGATACAAAGAATAGCTGATTCACTTATTTTGGTCGAGACCATTAATGGGTCAATGCGAATACCTTTCTTTCCCCTTCTGAGATTCCGTCAATTTTGATCAATTTGGAGCGTCGCTATCGCTGATTCAATGTTGCTGACTCTTTTCAAACAGTAGGGCTCATACAAGTACAACTTTCCAAAATCCGAATCCCGTTTGGAACCTCGGAGGAAGGGCTCATACACCTGTCCTTGCGTGTCTCTCCATCGCGAGAAAGCCACCTTTAACATCTCCGATCCATCCCCACTTCCTCTTCCGCGCTGTCTCTTGTTCCATTCCTGCTTCAGCTTCAATTCTCTCCATCAATTTCTGCGCCGCGATCTGACTGTCGTTCCCACGCTGGCAGACGAAATATATACTCGGATATTTTGGTTCCTCGCCTGCGTTCTCTTTTGTCTCCCTTGCTGGGCTTGGAGGTATTTGATCAGATTGACCGCTTGGCTTGGGTGGGAAGCTATCATGCCTTGTAGCAACGGGGATATGCGACTCCTGATCGACCATCCCTCCATCCGGTCCCATCTCAGGAGCGAAACTCGGTCCCGGTCCAAACCCAAGAACATCGAATGCCCCATTTCCATGCCTCAGAATTTGTGAGATCGGGATATTTAAACTGCCCCGTACTTTCGGACCCAGTTCATACTCATGCTCTTCGCGGACGTCGACCACAATTGGCTTGGTTTTCAGTTTGCCACTTTCGTCTTGTTGTTCCGCTCCGGCGTGCTCCTGGAGAAAATCCCTTGCCTGAATTCTATTGTCCTCGCCGAGCAGTTTGACATCCTCGAAAACACCACAAAAAGCCTGGTAATCCAGTCTGCCATGTGTGATGATTTCAGCAGTGACCTTGCTCAAACCTTTTGTAGCAAGAGTTTCGTCGTCGCCGCACGTGATGCAGTCCTTCCGCCGTCCGCGCAAGCTGATGGTGCGGAACATACTTCTTGGATCGCTAGCGTAGGTGTTGTACAGGAGCATTGTGTGTTGTCTCTTTTCTCTCTGTGTTTCCACGGAAGCTCCCGCACTGTTCACATGCTGTTTTGCTTTGGTTTCGCGAGGGAGATGTCCACGGCTCGTGATTATCTTGATGGTCTCTCCAGCCATCAAGGTCCCTATCACCCCGACAACAGGGCCTAGGATTCCAATCTCACTACATCCTCGCACTGTTTCCGGAGCTGGCGGACGAGGAAACACACAGCGATAGCAAGGGCCCTTTTCGTCTCCGTCGGAGGAAGACGTGGGAGGGGAGTTGAGGACAATTAGCATACCCTCGCCTCTCTGCGCAGCACCGCTAACGAGCACTTTGCCTAACACCACACACGCATCAGAGATCAAATACCGTGTTGCGGGATTATCTGTGCAGTCGAGTACCAGATCATATTGGGACACGATGTCCAGAATATTGCTCGCGCTGGCGGATTCTTCATGACAAACGTACGCGATTTCCGGATTCAGCTCTCGACATCTCGCGGCCGCCGAGTGGACTTTGCTCTGCCCCAAGCGCGCAGCAAAGTCAGTGTGCACAATTTGACGGTGGAGATTGCTCGTTTCCACGTTGTCACCGTCCATAAGGCCCAATATACCAATTCCGGCCCCAGATAGGTACAGCGCCGCGGGTGAACCGAGGCCACCTAGGCCAATGATGAGGACTTTCGAGGCTAGCAGGAGCTCTTGGCCGCGGAGTCGGACTTGGGGGACGAGCATTTGGCGGTTGTATCTGCCGGAAGCGAGGGATGGAGCAGGCAGGAGAAGAGAAGGTGCTGATTGGGTTTTCGGTTTGGATGGTAGCGAGGTGGATTGGTCTTCGTGATGCTCTCCTTCCGAACATGAATCTGGGATGTGACTGGGATCCGACATCTCCACGCCGTTTATGTCCAATATTTCCGCAGCTTGATCATCAATCGGAGGCGGCGGGTGGTTGTGGGACGAGGAAATAGACCTATCTACAACTCAGTCAACGATCTGCTGAAAGAATGATTCGAATAAGACCGCAAAATCAGAACAAAAAATATTCATTTATGGAGTCTCTGGTCTGGTTCCCAGCAGCAATTGATCATCTCATCAGCTGACATCTGGGCGATTGTCGTCCTGCAGGGGAAACACGATTCTGTCCTGCGGCGGCTCTATTCATACATAGACGATGGATCATACCACTCATCCCATCACTCACTGTCGCTGGGTATCATGTATCATACTTGTAGGGGAATACCAATGTCCTCCGGTGTTGCCGAACAAAGTTCTGCCAGATCCGGCAAAACGAAATGCCCAGTTTCGAGCGAAAACACGCGCAGAAACAATTGTCTGACTTACTCGTCTTCTGGTTCAATCAGATCGGGGAGATGCTCTGCCTTCTCTTTACCTTCCAGGATGTTGTATACAGCAGTAAGGAGAGGGAAGTCCTTCTCCATTCCCTTGTGCTTGAGGAATCTGTTTACTTCATGAGCTGTCAATGCTCCTTGCAGCTTCTGCCCATTAAGCTCTCGGTCTTGGATCTCCTCAATTGATTTGCCCTCTTGGATACTCATTTTGGCGCACCGGAAGTTGCGGCCACCAGAACATGAGGTGATCAAATCTGCAACCCCCGCAGACTCGACAGTGAAAGTGTCAGACTGGATAGTGTGAGGGAAGAACCTGTTTCCGAACTCTCTCATCTCAAGAAGACCAATTCGCATAACAGCTGCCTTGGCATTGTCTCCCCAGCCCAAACCGTCGACCCAGCCGGCAGCAACAGCCACGATGTTCTTCAAGGCACCGCCTAGAGACACGCCAGCCACATCAGAAACCACTCGGACGTGAAAATAGCGCCGGTGGAGCAGTTTCTTCCATGTGTCATGGTCAATTGGATGATATTCGGCAGGGAGCGGTTTGAGTTGGACCTTTGATGGCTTGCCGGAGACATCTTTATGGACCATCTTTGTTAAGTCGACATGACTCGAAACCGGGCTAGGACCTTGAGATGTGGCGGGTGTAGGTGCTTGTGAGTCTATCAATGGCGGGTCATATGCAACTGTGGTCTCACTGAACTTCTCTTGGGCGATTTCGCCGGCGATGTTTGCTCCCGACAAGGCACCACAGTATATACCCAGCTCTTCTCCAATAGTTTCGGAGAACAGACTAATGAAGGAGTCGTTGACGTTGACGCCTTTGATGCACGAGATGCCTCGAGCGAAAGGTAGGATATGGCCACGGAGTTGTTTGCATATGTTGAGAATAAACTGGTGGGGGAGGTTGAAAATCAGAATGGAAGAGTTCTTGACTGAGTCGACGAGGCTAGGATTGGCGACGACGTTGTGAGGAAGAGCTATTCCCGGGAGGTATTTAACGTTCTCGTGGAAGGTGTTGATGAGAGTGGAGAGCTTGTGTTTTCCTTTGCTGAACTCGGAGTTCTCGTCGTAGTGTTTTGATTTCTTGTCCAATTCGACCTCCTCTTCATAAACCCACATCTGGACCTCTCGCTCGAACAGTTCGGGATGTTCAAGTGTGTTTTCTCCGATGAGTTTTGAAATAGTCGATCCCCTGGTTGAGTTAGTCAGAATCCTGTAGAATAAGAATAGTCCTTACCAGTTCCCCGAGCCGATCACGGTAACCTTGTGTTTCTTTGCATAAGGTGTCAGACCAGACATCTTCACCCGGAGTCCGTCCATGGTGACGGGGCTGCTGAGCTTTGGAACGGCGGAGAGAAATTGCAAGGGAACAAGGAGTCTAGAGAAACGAAGAAACAAAGGTGAACGAGAAGGCAACAGCATCCAGTGCTGGGCAGCCGCGAGGAGAGGGAATCAAAAGCAATTAGTTCCTCTTTGGATTGGAAAATTGGTGAGTGGTGGGCTCGACGCAAGAGGATTTGGCCAAAATGTTGGTCGACTCAACATCTCGCGTGACGCAGGAACATGTCATAATGGGAAAGGCTTGTGAGGCCCATTGAAGCCAATGCGTCCAGCTGATCGTTTATTGCTTGCTAGTTAGCTGTCTTAGTGGGGGAGAGTGCGATCCACCAGGCCAACGATTTCTTTTTCCAAGGCTGAGGGTCCCTAGCTCGGTGCTGGGGGGTGCCTAGGAGTTAGGCTCCAAGCGCCCCGAATGGGCGCCGAGGACCCCGCGCTTTGTTATCGATAATGAGGAAAAGCCTGCGGTAAAGCCACGACGGGGCCAACCGACCCAATACCCGTCTCGCGCTGTTACCATCCCGCAACAAGCCTTAACATGATCCTTGTGACACACTGCCCTTTGCTCGTGGGAGCCCGCAAAATGACTGTCAGCACGACTGCTCTCGAGTTGCGACAGGCGATTTAATGATCAAAATGCACCATGGCCATCACACCATGGGGACAGCTCTGCTATGAGCCACTGGCGAAGACACTGACCTTGGTTAG